TGTCGTGATGGAGGATGATGCGGCGGTTGCAGTTCTCTTTACGGAGTTCAGAAACGACCTGTGGCAAACAAATGCTAGCATACCATTCTGCATTAACCGTTCTTTGTCCTTCAAGAGGAATAGTCGTAACATGGCCGGTTTGGAGACAAACCTGGCCAACAATTATTTTGCAACACTCCGTGAACGAACAATTTTTGTTGGTAAAGCCAACTCATTTTCGAACACCCAAACTCGTGACTGGTTTTTTGTTTCGGGTTCGTACGCGTATATCCAGGATTCGTCACCTGATACAATGTTGTATACGGCATTTGAGGATCCTGCGTGGAATCTTTCGAGAGTTCTGACGCACCAAGTAACGCGAGCCGCTTTTTACTCTTCACAGAGCGAATGCGGTATCCATCGGGAAAACAACTTTTTTACACCTAATTGTTCATGCAAGATTATTTGTATTTGACTCATGCCAATGTCTAAAGTTGCCTGAATTTCACGGTATGTCACATGTCGATCTTCCTCAATCAGCTTACGCCCAGCATCAACGTTTTCTTGGGTGACTGCAGTTTTTGGACGACCTTGACGGGGATCATCACTGAGCTTGACACGTCCACGTTGAAACTCAGCAAACCAGCGATAAATTGTGGTTTTGGATGGGGCTTCATCACCAAATGCAGAAATCATCCGGTCAACACACTGTTTTTGTGTTAAACCACTTCGAAAGTCATAATAAATCATCGCTCTTGAATTTTCTCGAGTCAATTCCATTTTCTCAACGACTAAACAAGTTTGACAAAACCTCGTGACAAGACCGAGAATCTTTTTTAAAATAAATAAATGGTATTCGATTTTTAAAACCAAGGAGTTTTCAATTAAAAAGATTTTAATATGACAGGAACAGTGGAAATATTCCATTCCCGATACTTTTAGTGCAGCCTAGTATAATACCGAAGAGATAGTTTCTTGGCTCTTAAAAATACTTAGAAAGTTTTCATGAAACAACAAAAAGTTTATTCGGAAAAATCTTGTCGAGCAGTAAAATGCAGTATATACTTAGTAGTTGTCCTGCACTATGTGTATGTTTTATTTCAAGGTAACCTGACAACGAATAATAATTAAAAAAAATTAACAGTTTAATTCATCACAACTGGTTAAATAAATATTTTAATTTAATTGTTATGTCATATAGTTGTGCCTGATTACTTACAAGCGGCAATAATTTACTAATCACACCAGAAATCAAACATGTTTTCTAATTAAATTTATTGAATCAGTCTGTTAGAGCGATTGAAATTTAAAATTCGGTAATTAATTTCGTTTAATACATCAAAGTAGCAATATTTAAGTTATTTTATAAAGCTATCTATTTTTAGGTAATAAAAAAACATACTTGGTAAATTATAACTTTTATTTACTTAATAATTTTAATGAAATATTTCATAATTATTTTTTTTGCTTCAATTGGCGGACGAGCTCATGGCTCACCTGGTGTTAAGTGGTTACTGGAGCCCATAGACATCTACAACGTAAATGCCGCCATCCACCATGAGACATAAAATATAAGTCTCCGTTTTTACAGTACATACAATTTATATACACATACATTTAGATAAATTGTTTTATTAATTTATTAAATACAGCATGATCGTGATGGTATCTTTAAAAAAATTAAAAAGAAGCTTTAACAATAAGTCGCCAGTACGTCTAAAGTGCAGGGCTGGATGCAACACTCATCAACGACGCCGCGTTTCTTGATGGCGCGTTTGTTGAAATTCGGTGTCGGCAACCAAGGCCAGCCTCGGCTGCTGTAGCTGGCCAAAGAACTTTCGCTGCGTTTCTCCACACTCGTGTCCCAACACAAATCTGCTAGAGTATTCGCCAGATGCCTGCCACAGTAATGGTGTGCCACGTTTGCCTCTTGCGCCGCGATACAAAGAAAGCCGGTCAACAGAAGCACCAGAAACACTGGACGATTCATGATTTCAAGATAGACAAACTATTGAATTTCAAATGATCCCGTTACTACGAATATCAGGGTGATAATGGTGAAAGTTCCATAAGACACGTGACTTTTATATGAAAAATTTCGTTAATGAATATTCAACAAAGTTTATTGTTGCTGAAAACCTATTCGATATGACACGGCGTGGGTTTTCGTATGCGCGCATTCGATCTCCATAACTGTCATTATCGTCATCTGATTTAATAAAGAGTGAAATTATGCATTTCAGTCTAGTGAACAAGTGTCAAGTAAATACGAGTATATCTGAGAATTTTCTCATATCGAAGTTTTAGTAATCCTGGCAACACACGACATGATCGAGATCACGTAGATTTTTCTGACAATAACCAAAAATAATTGTTCTTTCCCAAGTCTAACTCAAGTCGCCTAGCCGACTCTAAGCAAATTTTGCTAAATTGCTGAAAATAACCAAGCACAAGTAAATCAAGCTTATTTACCATCTTAGATTAAATTGCAACCTTAATCTCGTCAAGAAGTTTAAACGAACTGGAGCATCTTAAAAACTATTTAATTAAGCCTCAAATATATACTAATATTATAAAGAGGAAAAATTTGTTTGTTTGTTTTGAATAGGCTCCGAAACTACCGAACCGATTTGAAAAAGCTACGCTAACCCCGGGTGACATAGGCCATATTTACCAAATTTTCAATAAAAAATTAGGGATCCTTAATGAAACTCCAATAATGTGACCCAATGTGTGAAAAAAATTACCTAAAATTCTTGACATCGCGTGCGCTACTACCTAAGCGAAGCCGGGGCGAGTCGCTAGTATGTCAATATAGAGTTATTGCCGGTTATATGAGAAGCTTAAACACAAATACGAAACAAAGAAAAAGTACACCCACCCAGACAGTGTGTTATTCCGACTGACAATCAAACTCGAACCCCTTGTCATTATACATATCCACTGACCACTAGACCACGTTTTCATCAAATTAAATCAAACTTTTTGCAACTAGCGTGACCGAGTTTTGCAATAGCATACGTAGCGCAAGTGGTTCCTTATTCGCTGATGCCGGGGAAGTGTTTTGCTGTCATACTTTTACTGTTCCATTTCTGGGCAGTGTGCTACTTCTATGACCCTTAAAACCTTACCGTCCGTCTAAGAGTCGTTTATGGGTTTTATCTGAAAGCTTGATGTTGAAAAAGACATTGCCATATAACAGCACTCTATCACAAATGTTTTGATTTCAAATTTTGGAATACTTTGCTAGCTAACGGTATAATGGTAGAAGACAGCGGCTTGGCTGTTCATTCGCGACGGTAACCACCCAACATCAGGTGGTCCGTATGCTCGTCTACATACAAGAGCAATATTTTTTTTAGCTATTATAATATCAGCTCACCAATTCTGCTTGTAGCTCTAAGCAATCAATTATTAGCTCACGATCCAAGTATATAATATACTTATTTTATTCATTTATTAATAACACAAAGTATGTATGTTTGCATCTTATGTTTATGTGTATTTATTTAAAATAAATTTAATTAACACTCAACTTGCTTATTTAATTACATGCTTCTTTAATTAATCCTCTTATTATAGGTAGCTGATCAAATAAATCCTTTGCCAAATAATATGGTGCCATGTTCTTCATTTTTTTTTATTGCTAAGATGGGTGGACGAGCTCACAGCCCACCTGATGTTAAGTGGTTACTGGAGCCCAAAGAAATCTACAACGAAATGCGCCACCCACCTTGAGATATAATTTCTAAGGTCTCAGTATAGTTACAACGGCTACCTCACCCTTCAAACCGAAACGCATAACTGCTTCACGGTAGAAATAGGCAGGGCGGTGGTACCTACCCGTGCGGACTCACAAGAGGTCCTACCACCATATTTTTCTATTCGATTTAAATAAAAAGATTAAATCAAAAAATAAAAATGATATTTGTTGTATTCTACTTTAAAGTATTAGTGTTGAATCACTGCAAGCAACAGTCATCGTGATTTGTATTTTTCAGAGAAGCTTTAAAATCTTACAATCTTACCTAATAATTAATATGTACGTACAATATGTAAAATGTCCTTACACATTTAAAAATAAAATTTGAAACGATACCAGCGATAAGCGAGTCAGATCACTGACCGAAGAACGTATAACTTTGAAACAAACAATGGTGTCAGTGTGTAAGGCATGTACGAATCAGTAGGGTCTCACAATGCAAGGGCACAAGGCCCACTAAGACTAAAAGCACTCTCAATGTACGTGACCATTTGTAAAATACATGACTACAAAATTGAACGTTTCAAAGCATATATTTTTTTCTCCAGATAAAATAAAATGTTGCCAACACACAGAGTAGGTACTAACAGATCGCTACACATTTAGATAAATATGTGGGACAAATTTTATAACTAAAATCAGAAACGCATAATTCAAATGTATAATTTAAAGAGGTCACTGCAACAATGTATTAAGTGTTACAGAATCAAAACAAACTTTGTTTTTGTTTGTATTTGATCAATGTAGAATAATTGCAAACACGTTACAAAGTGGCGCCAGTTAGAACATTAATTAAACTAACGATAGTGAATATAGGGCAGTGGGATAGTTTTGATAATTGTAGAAAACACTGCCTTCTTCTAGTAAATACAGATTAATAAGCCATGTTGTTTTTGAAATAAAATTATGATCAAAATACACACGATAAAGGTTAATTAGAACATTTAAGAATCTTTAAGTTCTTGGGTCAATCGCGATTATTTAAGCAAGTGTAATCTGTAAGGGCAATTTACACTAACAACTATCGAGTGTTTGGGTTACGACAACCACTTAACATTTGACCATTGCCCAGTGCCCAGTTGGACTATCAAACAATCTTCGGGAAAGGTTCTGGTGTGAATAAGTTTTGCAAAAAAAAGTGCCATAATACAGTCAGTTAAATACTAGTTTATTTTTTTTAAATGTTACATTCATAAATATTAATAATTAATACATGATGGAAGTTGAATATGAATAAGCACAAAGAATTCAGATCACTTTAACAGTATAAAAGCAGTACATCCAAAGTGCAGGCGCGGAGGCAGCAGTCATCAGCAACACCTCGTTTCTGGATGCGGTGCTCCGCCGTCTGAGGGCTCGGTGGCTCGGTTAAGTCCTGGTTGTTGCCATCGTAGTACGAATCGTCACTGCGCTTATACTCCCAGCACAAGTCAGCCAACGTTAGCGCCAGGAATCGCCCGCAATAATGACGGGCTTGTTTTTGTTGTTCTAACGCGGTCGTAGACATCGTCAACAGGAGAACGATCAGTAAGACGGTCTTCATTTTTACGTTGCTGTCCTGAGGTGTATGAGTGGAAGTGGTCAGTGCAAGTGGTCCTTTTATCCCGAACACTAGGATGAGAATGAAGAAAACGCTTCAGCCCGGTGGTTTTATATGTAAAATTTGCCTATAAATATTCAGTCAAATCACTGAAACCATAAGTGATATGACTTCAGAATATACTAAGGGATAGTTTAGACTGCGGGCTTATTTCTGAACACTCAATACTTTGTGCTGTTTGTCACCGTTTGACTCGTCAGTTTTCTGCATAAGCTAGGTATTTTTTCTGTTACTTAATATTTTTGTTGAAGATCAATTTACATGATCGTTCTCTTGCACGAACAAACAGACTAATGTCGATCACGGTATCTGCTTATCATTGTTCACAGACAAAATTTAGAGCAACATTAATTGTGCTAATAATAAATAAACGGACGCCACATTGTACACACAACCTACACAATGTCGTGTCAATTGAGATATTATTAATTAATAACATCTATATTATGTACTTATAAATAGCTTTCTCATATAAAGGCTCGTTCTTTGCAATTTATCCTCACAATACCAGTGCATCTCGGGAAGACAAGAGCTCTCGAAAAGGCAATTTATTTAATTGAATTAAATTCATCAATAGCCATCGACAGTCCGTCGTTTGACGAGCCACAATGAAATTTTCTGCGGTTTTTGTGATCCTCCTCGTTCTACTGACGGTGGCCGTGCTGAGTGAAAACGCGGGCCGTACCTACTGCGGTCGCTACCTGGCCCGTACCTTGGCCAATCTCTGCAGCGACGCTGGTCAGGAAAAGCGCGGCGAAGACTGGTCATGGCTGTCCGCATCCGGCCGTAAGGATGGCGCCGTGACTGAGAATGGCGTCGCCAACGAGTGCTGCCTCCACCCCTGCACCCTAGAGGTTCTGCTTTCCTACTGTTAAATCCAGACAACATGTTCTACGGTGTTAAATAATTTGTACTAATTGATGTATCATTTTGGAAATAAAGATTTTTTTTAAATTCTATGTTTCGCCTTTTTTATTTTATTTTTAATTAAATCCTACCTGTTTTTGTATCGTTCGTTTATTGTATTAACTTATATATATATTTTTTTGGACTTTATTACTTGACGCACGCATAAAAAAACAACCAAATCATTTATAAACGTTTTTAATTCGATTTAAATACATATTCATGCACAATATTTCAACAAGTTCCTATAAATTTTACGTATGGTTTTTGAAAGCTATTCAATGGTTATTTTGTGCGCTTAATAATTTTTATGTATTTATTCAGCATTTTTAAAAATAATATTACTTTGCAATATCACTGTTTAATTAGCAATGAAAATTTTCAAAGTTAATATGTTAAAAGAACTGACATTTAAACCTTTTCTTAAATTGGTAAATTTTTATTTATTTTTTTATTTATTGCTTAGGTGTGTGGACGAGCTCACGACCCACCTGACGTTAAGTGGTTACCGGAGCCCATAGAAATCTAAAACGTAAAAGCCGCCACCCACCTTGAGATATGAGTTCTTAGGTCTCAGTATAGTTACAACTACTTATTATTATTAGTGTTGTTTCACTTTATACCGCTGTTTCATTAACATTTCATTGTTCTATAATCTTCAAATTCCCGATACGTTTTTTTATTTCGAATTTTCCTTCGTTTTCATTGATTCTAATTTTGACTATGGTCTGAAATTTGATTAGACTCAATTGTTTAAACGGTCAAAATATTTATATATTAAAAAATCCTAGCGACAGAATGCATTAATAAAAAAGGTTTACATATACATGGCACAGGGCTCTTTTCTGGTTTTTAAATTACAGAACCGATTGCAATAAACCTAGATTTATTTAGTGAATCGGTAAAAAGAGAAGGTGCTTTCGAATGCGTAGCTCATATTCTTTTTCTATTCTTTTCTATTCTATCAGCCCATGGACGTCTCCTGCTGGACATAGGCCTCCCCCAAGCCTCGCCACAAAGACCGGTCCTGCGCTGCCTGCATCCAGCTCATATTACTCAATATTTATTAAAATACTAATTGACCCGGCAGACTTCATAGTGCCTAAGCCGAAAAATAAAAGGCGTACACTTTTGAATAAAATAAACTTAAAACAAACAAGAGAAATCCGTCCGACGGGGGACATATGAAAGGAAAAACGAAATTATTATTTTTATTGAATTCCGAGCGTTTTCATATTTATCTACCTTTTAAACCTTCTCTGGACTTCCACAAATAATTCAAGACCAAAATTAACCAAATCGGATCAGCCGTTCTTGAGCTTTCGCGAGACTAACGAACAGCGATTCATTTTTATATATAGAGATTATGATAATTATTATAATACGAAACTACCTAGTGACAGCAGAATTAACAGCAAAGAAATTACGTTTAAAAGAACTAAATAATTTTTAAGCGAACGCAAAAGCAAACTCAAAATGGACTACATCTTTGCCATTTTACATACAAATTGTTTACGTATTAAATCGATAAGCATCGAGGTTGGCCTGTACATAGGGTTAATAGGGTGGTCTTATGTTAAATTATAAACACGATAACGACTTTGTCTAATGCATTCTAGAAACTTTGTCACGCGCAGCGAATATAGGCACGCGTGCACAAACATGCGTATAACTTTTTCGAATTATCATTTCACTGACAAGATTTTTTTTTCAGTGTTGTAAAATATTATTTAAGCCTTTTTTTATGCGTTGATGTCTTTTGTTCGATTTTTTTTTTTTTCGTAGACACGCCTGTAGAGCTACAGATAAGCCTAAGACACGGTGTAAGATATCTAACACGCGTGCACAATTCAAAAATTAATTGTATAACCCATTTAATAGTATGCATCTAGTTTGAATTCAATTAATTATCATGATCGCGAGTCTCGGAATCGCCAAAGGGCACATAGCAGTGACCGTCGCTTCTGGTTATCAGTAAACACACAACATACATATAAATGCGCTCGGTGCAAAAACATTGTAACTAGCGCTACAGATAAGCTACTTTGTTGTGGGAACTATGTAGTTGTTGACTCTCTCGGTTGGCGCGAAACGTACTGATTACATTCATATGGCTCAGCTCTTTGTTTGTCTGTCTGTTGGAAATCTACTTTTAGAACAAAGTTTAGTTTATGCATTCATCCATGTGCATTCTCGTACGATTATGTCGAAGAAATAAAATTACGTGTTAGGTTTTTCTTTTGGTACTTCCGTCGGATTCAGCTTGTTTTTGATATAATTAAAACTAATTTTGCTGTTTATTCTCCGGTTGATGATTTATATTTCATTATTTTTCGTATATTTTTCGTATTTTTCGTATATATATCAATAGGATATAGTAGTAATAAAAACAAATTAATAGACGAGAGATCAAAACCGTAATAGTCATTTCAAATATATTGTTTTAACTAGTTAATCCTTTTTTTTTATTGCTTAGATGGATGGACGAGCTCACAGCCCACCTGGTGTTAAGTGGTTACTGGAGCCCATAGAAATCTACAACGTAAATGCGCCACCCACCTCGAGATATAAGTTCTAAGGTCTCAGTATAGTTACAACGGCTACCCCACCCTTCGAACCGAAACGCATTACTGCTTCACGGCGGAAATAGGCGGGGTGGTGGTACCTACCCGTGCGGACTCCCAAGAGGTCCTACCACCAGTAATTACGCAAATTATAATTTTGCGGGTTTAATTTTTATTACACGATGTTATTCCTTCACCGTGGAAGTCAATCGTGAACATTTGTTGAGTACGTATTTCATTAGAAAAATTGGTACCCGCCTGCGGGATTCGAACACCGGTGCATCGCTACATATGAATACACCGGACGTCTTATCCTTTAGGCCACGACGACTTACAAAATCCTGGCCTCGCATCGCTCTGAGTATCTTTAATGTATTATATTATGAAAACAAATTACGACCATTGGTAGGAACGCATTGTGTGCTATTCGTTTCACGTTTGACCAAAACTTCCAATCAATCGGACAAACAAAATAAGGAAGCACGCTAGACGCGGGCGAACAAACTAATTTTTTTAACTTTTTACTTATACATATAATTGGAGTAACATTGATTGGTGGTAGGACTTCTTGTGAATCCGCACGGATAGGTACCACCGCCCCCGCCTATTTCTGCCGTGAAGCAGTAATGCGTTTCGGTTTGAAGGGTGGGGCAGCCGTTGTAACTATACTGAGACCTTAGAACTTATATCTCAAGGTGTGTGACGCATTTACGGTTGTAGATGTCTATGGGCTCCGGTAACCACTTAAAACCAGGTGGGCTGTTAGCTCGTCCACACATCTACGCAATAAAAAAAAACTTATGCATATAATGGCAGTAACAGATAGAACGAAGGTACCAATAAGTACGGACTCACAATGTTACTAACGATATTCAGCTCCTCTGACATAATCGTATATAACTAAAATATGTAGAGATAAGATTCAATATAACTTACTGGTGAGTTCATCAGAATTGATACCACTCAGAGGGCTATTTATGGCACGCAACAATGATGAATGCTTCAGTTTGACAAGAAGGATGAATGACTTTTATCTGGAGTCTTTCAACTTTTGTGGAACTTAGTAAGCTAGTAATTAATCATACACGAAGAGGCCTACGACAAATAACAATCACCAACTGTTCCGAAAATCCATTATGTTAGAATTAAGCACTCTGTAAATAATATATTTAATTTAGCGTCAGGAATGAAGATTTAATAATAAAGCAGTAATAGATACTGTAAAGTAAGCTTTAGCTATTTCTGTAGCAATTTTGGCTTAAGCTCAAACCGGAGCACAATTTTGTGGTCATCGCTAGTCAACGTTGGCAATTTATGTTAAAAAAATTACTACAAAACTGCTTCGATCAACAGATTAATCTTTATTTATTATTACCTTTTTAGAAAGGGTAGTGACATTCACACCGTGGTTAAATAAATAACAAAAAATAAACAATAAAAAAAGCTATTTTTTTTTTATTAGGCACACAATACACATTACCAGCTACAAAAGATACACAATAAATAAATATTCCTCTATATTTATACATACTTATTTAAAAAAAAAAACAATTGAATTAATATTAGAGGTTGAATTATGAAATTGCCCATTTGTACTGAAAAATGGAAATTAATAATTTTTTTCATTTATCGTATTTATATAATCAAAACATCTACCATTATTATCTATACATTGCTGCCATCTAATAGGTCATTTAAGCGTTTGCGATAGAATTCTAGTGATCTAGATTCTACAAATTGTGATAAAGCATTTTGTACTGCCTCCTGGGAAGAAAACTTTTTAGCACGTAAAAAATTTTCCAAATCCCAAAAAAATGGTCGTCCGTTGGAGCAAGGGTGACAAATGGTTTCTAATTGCAGTTCCTGTAGAGTTAAAACGGTTTCTCGTGCTGTATGAGTTCTCGCGTTATCATGGGGCAATAATGGTGAAGATCGATTCATGAGTCGGGACTGTTTCACTGCAAGTTTTGCTATGATTGTTTGGAGTTCGGCATAGTAGACATCTGCGGTTATTGCTTGACCAGATCGGAAGACTATAGTGAATAACACCGTGCTGAGACCACCAAAAAGTTACCATTACCTTTTTATTGGTAAGCTTTGCTTTAGGACACTGTTAAGGCGTTTGACTTGAGGTCAGCCATTGCATTTTTCACTTACGGTTATCGTAACGAATCCACTTTTCATCATATGTCATAATTCGATCAAATATTCCTCATATCTGTATCGATTCAACAAGGCAACAAAAAATTCAACACGCGTTTCTTTCTACAGATCAGTCAAATCATGAAGCACCCATTTTTCATATTTTTTTTATTTTATTGATTTGACACAATTAAGTCAATATTGTTGGTAATGTAACGTTAAACCATGCCGTTCATTTCTGGGTAGCTTGGCTCAGATTGGCTTCCACCATCTCTTTCAATTCATTGTTTGTTATTTACATGTGTGGACGGTCTTCCACGTGG